GTACTGGCACAAAAACAGACATGAAGACCAGTGGAACAGAATAGAGGACCCAGATATGAAGCCACACAACTATAACCAACTTGTCTTTGACAAAGGAGCTAAAAATATACGATGGAGAAATAGCAGCCTCTTCAACAAAAACTGCTGGGAAAACTGGTTAGCAGTCTGCAAAAAACTGAAACTAGATCCATGTATATCACCCTATACCAAGATTAACTCAAAATGGATCAAGGATCTTAATATCAGACCCAAACTCTAAAGTTGATACAGGAAAGAGTAGGAAATACTCTGGAGTTAGTAGGTATAGGTAAGAACTTTCTCAATGAAACCCCAGCAGCACAGCAACTAAGAGATAGCATAGATAAATGGGACCTCATAAAACTAAAAAGCTTCTGTTCATCAAAAGAAATGGTCTCTAAACTGAAGAGAACACCCACAGAGTGGGAGAAAATATTTGCCAGCTACACATCAGACAAAGGACTGATAACCAGAATATATAGGGAACTTAAAAAACTAAATTCTCCCAAAACTAATGAACCAATAAAGAAATGGGCAAGTGAACTAAACAGAACTTTCTCAAAAGAAGAAATTCAAATGGCCAAAAACACATGAAAAAATGCTCACCATCTCTAGCAATAAAGGAAATGCAAATTAAAACCACACTAAGATTCCACCTCACCCCTGTTAGAATAGCCATCATCAGCAACACCACCAACAACAGGTGTTGGCGAGGATGCGGGGAAAAAGGAACCCTCTTACACTGTTGGTGGGAATGTAACTAGTACAACCACTCTGGAAAAAAATTTGGAGGCTACTTAAAAAGCTAACATTGATCTACCATTTGATCCAGCAATACCACTCTTGGGGATATACCCAAAAGACTGTGACACAGGTTACTCCAGAGGCACCTGCACACCCATGTTTATTGCGGCACTATTCACAATAGCCAAGTTATGGAAACAGCCAAGATGCCCCACCACTGACGAGTGGATTAAGAAAATGTGGTATCTATACACAATGGAATTTTATGCAGCCATGAAGAAGAACGAAATGTTATCATTTGCTGGTAAATGGATGGAATTGGAGAACATCATTCTGAGTGAGGTTAGCCTGGCCCAAAAGACCAAAAATCGTATGTTCTCCCTCATATGTGGACATCAGATCAAGGGCAAACACAACAAGGGGATTGGACTATGAGCACATGATAAAAGCGAGAGCACACAAGGGAGGAGTGAGGATAGGTAAGACACCAAAAAAACTAGCTAGCATTTGTTGCCCTTAACGCAGAGAAACTAAAGCAGATACCTTAAAAGCAACTGAGGCCAATAGGAGAAGGGGACCAGGAACTAGAGAAAAGGTTAGATCAAAAAGAATTAACCTAGAAGGTAACACCCACGCACAGGAAATCAATGTGAGTCAATGCCCTGTATAGCTATCCTTATCTCAACCAGCAAACACCCTTGTTCCTTCCTATTATTGCTTATACTCTCTCTACAACAAAATTAGAAATAAGGGCAAAATAGTTTCTGCTGGGTATTGAGGGGGTGGGGGGGAGAGGGAGGGGGTGGAGTGGGTGGTAAGGGAGGGGGTGGGGGGAGAGGGGAGAAATGACCCAAGCCTTGTATGCACATATGAATAATAAAACAAAAAAAAAAGTCTTCAGAGTGAATCAGCACCTCCTTCCTGTACCAAAGGTGCCTAATCTGGAAACAGAGAGGGTGGCAAATTGACCTCTGAGACATGGTTAAGACAAGTCAGAGACTATGACCTGTCACTGATTCCAAATGCAAAGTTGGTAGTTAGGTAGTGACCTGGGCTGCAGAAGGTCTACACCATTGTCCTGGCAAATGTGTGGCCTCATGCAAAGATAAGGAAAGTGAAGCTCTGAGAAGCTAGGGAACCCCAAGCCCTGGCATGAAAGTGGTAGAAGCTGGATTTGAAGGTGGGAGGACCCCTGAGCCCACACCATAATGCAGGCCACCTCCTCAATGTCACAATGTACTGTGAACACAGGGACAGTTCTAGGAACAGCAAGTCCCAAGGTGAATGCTGGAGAGGAGACAAGATGCATCATTCCACAATCTGTGGCCTTGGCCCTTGCTAGATGCTGGTGAGGTCCTCCTGTCTATAAGTAACTTCATAGGCCAGTGATAATAGAGGATTGGTGTGATTACAGATAATGGCTGCCCAAACTACTCCACTGGAAGAGCTTCAGGGGCCAGTCCCTGGCTCAGAAGGAAGCAGTTAAGACCCACTGGTTATGGATGGGGTGAGACTCTAAGGAGTGTGTGAACTGTGACAGTCCTACCTGGTATCTGCTTCCTTAGGTGACTTGTTCAGCTCATTACAGTGAACCACTGTAATTGGGAACCCTTGAGGCTTCATCTAGTAGACCTTCCCACTGGCCGTAAGGACAGCCCTATGACAAAGGTGCTGGGAATGAAATGGGGGATGGGACTACTGTTTTAAATAAGAGCAACTCACAGATCAGAATCAAGCCTAGTTTACCACCCTCCACTGTCCTTTCTCACACCATGCAGTGGGAAGACTTGTTCTGTTCACACAAAAACGCTCCTAAGTCATTGAGTCTAAACCCAGCCTCAGTTTCCCCTTGTCCCCTTGGCATGTGACTCCAACTCAACATTCAGCTACCCTCCTGCCAGACCAGGGGCAGGTGCAGGTTAACATGAGCCAGCCCATGCATCAACTCACTGTCCTATGGGTCTGGTGGCTCAGGAGGGGCTACCTCTGTACCAAGGTTGCTTTTAGCTCTCTCAGTCCCAAGTGTCTGGTGTACATCCCTCTCTTTCTCCTCCTGAGGTCTCCTTCCTTCCAGGAAGTCCTATGAGATATATTCTAGGACCACCCAAGCAGCTCTCTCCCTGTGCAAGCCCCACTGGGTCACAAGACAAGCCATGGATTCAGGGGAGTCCTTACCCAGCATTCCTCCTGGAGTCAAAGCAGTCAGCCAGCTCTTGCCCTCCAGATTTCCCAGGTGTGTGCCAGACTCCAATACCCAGGGACAACCACACTGCTGTCATCTGGAAGAAGCTGTGGAAGTGCTTAAACCCAGTTCCTGGTCCCACCCAGCCACCCCAGTCCCCTCGATCAGGATCTGCAGGTTAAGCCTAGAAATGGGCACTCGGGTTGTCAGATTGAATACAGGACACCAGTTAAACAGGAATTTAAGAGCACAGTGAAGTTTTTAGCGTAGGTATGTTTCAAACATTGCATAAGGTACACTTACATTAAAAAAATTATCATTAGCCAGAAATTCAGATTTAAGGAGGCATCCTGCTACATCTGGTATTCCTAACCTACACTGACCTGGCTCCTCAGGCTGCACGTCAAAGTCAGCACCATTGGCCAGCACTTGAATGACGTCAGTAAGATAATGCCACGGTTCCTGGTGACCTCATCCTGTGCCCTCTACCTCCTTGACTTTCTGCAGATTCCTTCTGAGCACTGAAGTTGAAGTTGCTCTCTCTGCATAAGGCCTCAGGCTTGCCCAATGCTAGGGCAGTCCTTCCCCATTTTAGTAGACAGGGATGGTGCCCTGCGGGAGTATGCAGGGCACAGTCTGTAGCTGGGTTCCATCTGTCTGTCTCTCTACCTTTTGGGGCATGGTGCAATCCATCATTGGAGGAACTTTGCAGAATGAGGCTGGACAGAGAAGAATATATTTGTGAGAGGGATGTAGACTCCCAAGGGGGTCTTCAGAAGAAAAATGACCTTTCTCCAGCTGAGCTGAGACTTTGCAAAGTTACTTCTGTAGCATCCATTTACAGAGGACAAAGTCATCATCCCTGCCTGCCTGTCCTTGGGATTAGCTGTCTGCATCCATTCCCCAGCCAGACCCAGGGCTGGGTCTCCGCTCTTCCTCACCCATCCCCAGTGCCAACAGAAACTTAGCAAAGGAGGAAGTCAGCCAGGGAGCACCTGAGTGGTGAGGACAGCTGGCTCCAGGGAGCCATCTGACGGGAGAAAAAGAAGATCAAGTATCCTGGACTGGCTTCTTCCAGAAACAGCCAGAGCCATACCTTTGGTGCAGTGAGGAGGGGGGGCCACCTCTTGGTCACATGATCTCACTTTGAGCTCCCCAGCATCCTTTTCTTGAGGCAATGTTGGATCCTTTTGCTGCAGGTGAGAAACCAGAGGGCACAACTGGGCTGGGTGGACACGCAGGCTGACCACAGTCTGGGAACTGAAATGAGCACGTAATTCCCTTCCAACCACTGGGCCTGGCAATGGCCAGACGGACCATGCTCAGAGGACCTTGGTGAGTCTGTTCAAATCAGTGCAGGAAGAGGTGAAACTTAAATAGTAAGGTCCAAATCCCACTGAGCAGCTGACATCAGTGAAGCCACGGGCTGGCCATCTCCACGAGCCTGATCATTGCATCTTTTGGAGTAGACAGGCCCATCAGGGGACTGGAGAACCACGTGGAATAAATCGAGAAGATGGTGGGACTGTTCTCACCCTCTGAACAGGGACTGAGGCGAGGCCGTGACCCCTAAACAAAGCCTGTGAGATCCATTCTGGGACTGAGCTGAGAAAGGGGAGAGGGCCCTGGATCACACAGGGCATCAGTGGAAGAAGCCTCTGGGCCTCTGGGGCTCTTCTCCATTCTCTAAGTCCCAACCTGGCAGCCAATCCTCTGGCCTTATCTGGCCTGAATGACAGGTTCTGTAGCGGGGGAGGCACATGACCGTCAAGAAGCATTGGGTATGACTAGAGCTGAAAACCAGGTACCCTGGAGGGCAGGGTGAAGGCAGAGAGGCCAGGTCAGTAGGAAAGAAACTCAGGTAAGAAAGCCTTCCAGTGAGGCCCTCAGTGAACCTTCTCAGAAACCAAATGACCGGAAAGAAGCCTGCATGATCTCAGCCTGAGTTCTCAGCCCAAGCCCATTGTGACATCAGTAGCCAGGCTGGCCTTAAGGAGGCTGCACAGTCATTCCCCTCGGCCTGGCCTCCCTACCCTCCCAGCACACAGCATTCCCCATGGCCGTGCTCCTGTTCTCAGTCCTGCTGCTCGCTGCCCACACAGTGAGGGCAGATGTTGGTATGTGGACTCCTTTCCTACTGGCCAGAGCAGCTGACCCAGGCAGGGCTGGGCAGGACACCTGTCCTCCTCGCTTCCTGTCATCCAACCTGTGGTGAGCATTAGGGGCAAGGGCGAGAGTGGATGCCAGCTCACGAATTAGCAAACTGGCCACCAGGAGACCACCTTAAGAGTGCACAGAGCTCTAGCTTGGTGTTCTCCCAACCCCCCCCACCACCCAAGAAAAAGCTGTTTCTTCATCTTCTCCTCTGCTCCCTGGCCCAAAGTCTGACCTTTAGCTTTGGTTTGGAATCTTGAGATTTATCCAGGAAGGAATAATGGCCTGCCCAGAGCTTGTTCCCAGAATTCTCTGAACATTAGTCATTGACTCAGAAGGTGAGGAGCTTTCAATGACAGATAGAGTAGAAGTGTGTTTAGCATGGTTAAGTTCAAGGGCACTTCTGTTCTTGTAGACAGCCCCTCACAGCTTCCTGATAGGTCATCTCCCTTTCCAAGGGGGTGGCCGAGGCTGGAAGGAAGCTGGGTTGCTTAGCAGCAGCAGTCAGCCACACCCCCATCTAACATTCACACCACCACAATGGCTTTCTTCTCTTCACTCATGTGTGGATGCAGAACTCAGAGCCTCATGGAGGTTGAGCGTTCTCCCAGAGTCCTCCTCAGGGGTATTTGTCTGACTTGCTCCAGGCTGATTGCAGCACCCAGTCTTTCTTCCCTCATGCTGTACACTGCCTCTTGTGCAGAGCACAGCTTGTCTACCTGGCCTTCTTCCTTAGGGTCAGCTGCACAGAGAGGGAGACAGGGCCCAAAATGCATGATTGCCAAAGCATTTCTCACCCTCTCTGCTGCCATTGCTGCAATCTAACAGTCCATGTGATTCTGCATTGGTGTTGTGGGGTGTTCTCAGGACCAAGAAAATTGAGAATGGAGCCTCACTGGTGAAAAATAGATATGAGAAATTCTTTTTTTTTCATTTTTCTTTTATTATTCATATGTGCATACAAGGCTTGGTTCATTTCTTCCCCCTGCCCACACCCCCTCCCCTCTTCATTAAGTAATGAGTTATTTAGTTTCCAGCTGTTTGCATGTTTTTTGTCTTTACTTTTGTTGTTGAGTTCTACTTTTACTGCATTGTGGTCAGATAGTATGCACGGTATTATTTCTATTTTCTTATATTTGCTGAGGCTTGCTTTGTGCCCTAGGATATGATCTATTTTGGAGAAGGTTCCATGGGCTGCTGAGAAGAATGTATATTGTGTACAGGTTGGATGAAATGTTCTGTAGACATCTACTAGGTCCACTTGATCTATTGCATATTTTAGATCTTGGATTTCTTTATTGATTTTTTTGTTTGGATGACCTATCTATTGATGATAATGGAGTGTTAAAGTCTCCCACAACCACTGTGTTGGCGTTTATATATGCTTTTAGGTCTTTCAGGGTATGTTTGATGAAATTGGGTGCGTTGACATTGGGTGTGTACAGGTTGAGATTATTATTTCCTTTTGGTCTATTTCCCCTTTTATTAGTATGAAATGTCCTTCTTTATCTCGTTTGATCAATGTAGGTTTGAAGTCTACTTTGTCAGAGATAAGTATTGCTATTTCTGCCTGTTTTCGGGGGCCATTGGCTTGGTAAATCTTCTTCCAGCCTTTCATCCTAAGCATATGCTTATTTCTGTCGGTGAGATGAGTCTCCTGTAAGCAACAAATTGTTGGATCTTCTTTTTTAATCCATTTTGTCAAACGGTGTCTTTTGATGGGTGAATTAAGTCCATTAACATTAAGCATTAGTACTGATAGGTATGTGGTGATTCCTGCCATTTAGTTGTCTTAGTTGTTTGAAGGTTTGATTGTGTGCACCTAACTTGATGTTACTCTCTACTGTCTTGCTTTTTCTTATCCTGTGGTTTGGTGCTGCCTGCCTTTTCATGGTTAAGTTGGGTGTCACTTTCTGTGTGCAGGATCCCTTGAAGAATCTTTTGTAATGGTGGCTTTGTGGTCTGTGGTCACATATTGTTTTAGTTTCTGCTTATCATGGAAGACTTTTATTGCTCCATCTATTTTGAATGATAGCTTTGCTGGGTAGAGTATCCTGGGGTTGAAGTTATTTTCATTCAGTGCCCGGAAGATCTCACCCCACGCTTTTCTTGCTTTTAATGTTTCTGTTGAGAAGTCTGCTGTGATTTTGATGGGTTTACCTTTGTATGTTACTTGTTTTTTCTCAGATATGAGAAATTCTGACAGCTAACATGGCTGAAGGATTTTCTCTGTGCCAAGCACTTTGTTGGGCATTTCAACATCTGTTATCTCATTTCATCCATCCATCAATTTTATAGGGTGGGATTATCTTCTGCCTATTTCAGGAATGAAGAAAGAGGGGATAAGCAGGCCAAGTAGCTTCAACAATTTGCTTAATAAGTAAGTAGCAGAACCAGGATTCAGCCTTTATGGTCTGCCCCAGAGTCTGCCCTTTAAAGGTCTGTGGTCTGTAGCTGTGTCTCAGAGAAGGGGGACCCATAGCAGTCACCCATCAGCCACACTTGTACATCTGGATTTTTAACATGAGAAAAATCACAAGTTTCAAATATAATTTTCAGCCTGACTTTTTCACTCAAGTTTACATCGCAAGCCCTCTCCCACATCATCAAAAATTATCCAGGAGCATAATTTTTATGGCTGAGAAGTAGTTCAGGATACAATTTAACTATGACACTATTAAACCCTAACATCAGGCTGTTTTGAGATTGTTACAGTTGTAAGAATCACTGTAGTGAAATCTGGTATAAACATCACTGAGGTGATCATCTGTTTTAAACATCACTGCAGTGAGCATCTTCCAACACTCAGGTTTGTTCTCAAAGATACATTTCCACAATGGCATCCTTGAAGCAGAGGATCACTCATAGTTGTTGATTGCTGCTCTGTGCCAGGTATAGTTCCAGGCCCAGCAAGACAGGCGTGCTATTGTCTCCACCTGACATTCTTCAATCAGAGGGCCAGGAGGGATCACAATAACCTGATGGCATGCTAACGCAATGAATAAACCTCAGATGGTGTAGCCAGGACAGGACAGGTTGTGCAGAAAGACACAGGTCTGAAGAAGTGTACCTTAGGCAGAGGCCTGAACCAAGTGAGGGAGTGAGCCATGCAACCATGGAGAGAACAGTCTAGGCAGAGAGCAGTACTGAGTGACAAATTGCCTGGCTTCAGATCTCAGTTGGGCCATTGACAAGTTCTGTTACTCTCTGTGTCTCACTTGTCCTAACTGTCAAATGGGGATGAAGAGAGTCATACCTTCCTCAGTGACCCGGTCTTTGCAAAGTGCTTGTCACAGAGCCTGGTACATAGTAAGCACTATAGTTATGTCTGGAAGAGGAAGTTAACGCTCCCAAATCCAGAAGACAGCTGAAGACTCTTGACACCTATTGCTAAGTTCTCCAATGATTTTAACCAAAAATGATCACCACTGGGTCAGTCAAACTTACACTGCAAAACCCTAAAGCTGCCTTGAGCTGATGGTGGAAAGTTAATATCAGGAGAGAGACAAGAGGTGTTCTTGAGCTCCCCAGCAATCAGGGCCTCCAGGAGCTTCCAGCACTTTCCATGTCACCCTGGTCTCTTCATTTCTAGATCTGCTGTAACAAACTAGCTTAAGCCACAAGTTTCTTACTTTACCATTCTACTAGGGTAGAAATCTAACATGGGACTCCCTGAGTAAATTCAAGGGTTGGAGGCACTGTGGTCTTGTGGACACACAGAGTGAGAACCATCGCCCTCCATGGACCCTGTGTTTCCATCTTTGGAGCCACCAGAGAGTTGGTGACATCTCTCTGTGCCTTTCTTCCTGACTGATTTTACTTCTGCCTCCCTCAGCTACTCATCAGGGCCCCTGTGGTACACTGAACCCACTTAGTGAGACATTTCAGATCAGCTAGTGAATTCCATCTCAAAGTCCCTGCTGCCTTCTGAGGGAAAATATTTAATATCCCAGGACATGGTCAGTAGAACTGACACATCTGTGGGGGTCCTTATTCTGCCTACCACAGTATTTCCCTCCAGTTTATCTGGCAGAAACAAGGGAAAGTGGCCAGCCCGAGATCCTGTGCTGGGTGAAGGCAGAGCCAGTCCTTCCCACCTGAGCTCTGTGGGCTCCCTTGTCAGAGGGGAACCTCTGGGTCAGCCCCAATGTCCTTGACTTCAGAACAGGGTTGGGAGCCTCTGCTCATAAGCACCTGCTCCCAGTGCTGCCCTGGCTTGAGTGGGTGTGGACTGACTATCTCATGCTTTCCTTTCCACTCTTCCATTCCAACAGGGTGTGGTGAAAGACCCATCTTCGATGGAAGGACTCGGTATTCCAGGGTCATAGGGGGACTGGAGGCTGAGGTAGGGGAGTTTCCATGGCAGGTGAGTATTCAGGCAAAAAATGAGCACTTCTGCGGTGGCTCGATCCTCAGCACCTGGTGGATTCTCACTGCGGCTCACTGCCTGAGTTCTGAGGAGGTCAAGTAAGTACCAAGTGCCTCAGTGACAGATGGTCAGCTGACTATGACAGTGACACACTCAGCCAGACCTGATCGGTGAGAAGGGGTCCTAGTGCAGTCCTGGAGACCTTGATGTAGCTGACCAGAGGCTGCACCAAGTCCACGACTATGGTTACCCTAAGGTCACACACTGTCCTCTCCAGGAGCACCTGTGGTCTGCTGGAGACTGGTAGCATGGTCCATAGCCTCTCCTAGGACATTCAAGTGCTCCTACCAAGGTATCTTAACTTTGAACATCGGATTTCCTGGGCTATCCATTCCCACCACCTTGAGCTTTCTCTGATGGGTGAACATCCAGCATTTACTCATCACTAGCCATGTGCCTGGGACCCCGCTAGGACTTCACCCGTCCTAACTCCTCTAACAGTACAACCTCCATATGAAGCCGATAGAATGAGTGGCTTCATGTTATAGATAAGGAAACTGAGATCAGATAACATTAGATAGCTCAACAACATGCACGCCAATGGATGAAGGTGGGGTTCGAAGCCCAGCTCCACCCTGCATTCTGCTTCACCCCCTGGAGAAGGTTGGGAGATACTCAGAAAGGCTGACTTTACTTATTTGTTTATTTTTCATTATTGATCATTTTTATTTGAAAGCTTAGCAATAAATATTAGAAATAGAAGTTTGCTGTTAAACTATTGTGAAACTTTTTATTAGTGCATATTAGTTACACAAAATAATGGATTTCATCATGACATTTTCATATATGTATAAAATGTACTCCAATGACATTCACCCCCATCACCTTCTCTCGTTCTCCTCCCACTGGTCCCAACACCCTCCAGACAGTCCTATGTTCACATCTTTTTTCAAATCTGCATTCTGCACATGAGAGGAAACACATTCATCTTTATGAATTCTGCTTATTTCACATAACGTGATCTCCAGTTTCATCCATTTTCCTGAAAGTGACATAATTCCAGTCTTCTTTATAGCTGAATAGTATTCCAGTGTGTATATGTACCACATTTTCTTTATTCATTCATCAGTTGACGGGCACATAGGCTGATTCCACAATTCGGCTGTTGTGCATAGTGCCACAATACAGATGGGTGCGTAGGTGTCTCTATTGTATGCTGACTTGGCTTCCTTTGTGCATAGCCCCAAGAGTGGCATAGCAGGATCTTGTGCTATTTTTAGTTTTTTGAGGAGCCTCCATACTGATTTCCACAGGGGCTGTACTAGGGTACATTTTTCGCCAAGAGTATGTAAGAGTCCCTTTTCCCCAAGTCCTCAGCAGCATTCATTGCTGTTTGTTTTCTTGATGGCAGCCCTTCTGACTGAGTGAGATGGAATCTCTGATGGCTTTGATTTGCACCTCTGATGGCTAAAGGTGCTTTTTGTCATATTTTCATTGGCCCTTTGCACTTCTTCTTTGGAGAACTGTCTGTTCAACTCACTTGCCCATTTATTGGTTAGATTATTTATTTTTTATGTTTAATTTTTGAGTTCTTATAATTCTGGATTGCAGTCCCCTGGCAGATAAATACCTGGCAAAGATTTTCTCCCATTCTGTGGGCTGTCTTTTCACTCTGGTAACTATTTCCTTTGCTGTACAGAAGCTTTGCAATTTGCTGCAATTCCATTTGTCAATTTTTTCTCTTATTTCCTGAGCTATTGGAGTCCTATTCAGAAAGTCACTGCCTGTACCTTTATCTTCAAGTGTTTTCCCATAATAGTCTCAAGGTTTTAAGTCTTATGTTAAGGTCTTTGATCAGTTTTGGGTTGATTTTTGTACTAGGTGAGAGACAGGAATTTAGTTTCGGTCTTCTACGTGTGGATATCCAGTTTTCCCAACACTATTTGTTGAAGAGGCTGTCTTTTCTCCAACATATGTCCGGGACACCTTTGTCAAGGATCAGGGGACTGTGTGGGTTTATTTCTGAGTCCTCTTTTCCATTGGTCTGCATGTCAGTTTTTGCGCCAGTGCCATGCTTTAAAGGATTAATAAAAAAAAAAAGGGAGATTTCTGGGTGTGGTGACACATGCCTCTAAGTCCAGTTATTGGATAGGCTAAGGAGGTAGGATCCTGTTTGTGGCCATCCTGGGCAACTTAGCAAGACCCTGTTTCAAAATAAAGCAAAAGGAGGCGGGGATAAAGCTCAATGGTAGAACACTTGCTTTGCAAACAAGAGGTCCTTGGTTCAAACTCCACTGACACACACACACCAGGAAAATTTCATCCTGGCAAAATCGAGGACCCATGAGCCCTGCTCTCATGGACTACTTAGAGACTGTCTATTGGAAAGTTCTTGGTCGTCCTGCGTGGAGGGTGTCCTTTATTACTGCAGGTCTTGTCTGGCTAGCCAGTGGCAGGTCCAGATGAAACTCTGTTCTACTTGTCAGTAGATGTACTGACATGTGAACAGTATTGTGACGACTGGTGTGTATATAGCATCTCACCCATCTGGTGGCAGCCCTTATCTGTGCCCAGTGATCTTTTGTGGGCTCTGCACACTGCCTAGAGCTAAGCTCTGCCTCCTCTGTTCCACACAAGTGTCTTGTTCAGTCTTGGGACCCCAAGGGCACAGGTCTGCTCCCTGACTATTTGCCCTCTTTCTGTACTTTGTAAGTATTCACATCTTCCAAGCAACAGGCCCAACACCCAGAAGTCTAAGGTCCCTAGGAGTCCTAGGGTTTTCAGCACAGTGACTTCTATGCACCCCTATAATCTCTTTCTCCTTCTCTTCTTTCTCCCTTTCTGGTTCTGTGCCACCAGCCCAACAGAACTGAGTGTCATAGTGGGGACCAATGACTTAACCAGCTCATCCATGGCAATAAAGAAGGTTACCAGCATAGTTCTTCACAAAGCCTTCAACAGGGTCAACATGGACAATGACATCGCCTTACTGCTGGTGGCCTCGCCTATCCAGTTCAATGGCCTGACAAGACCCATCTGCTTTCCCCCGCAGACCAGCCCTTCCACCTGGCACGAATGCTGGGTGGCAGGATGGGGCCAGACCAACTCAGGTACATGACTGCCCTGGGCCTCATGAGAGCTACTGGGGCAAAAGCCACCAAACTGGAAGAAGGAACAGAGTGCTGAGGAGGGCAGAGGAGAAAAGACATTGTCCCCTGCCCCCCACCTGGCTTCTACAGACTTTCACAGTGCCCACTCTGGGCCATGGGCTAGGCTTCTGAAAGTCTGGAGTGTCACCCAGAGACTTAGAAATGAATTTGTTTCTTGTTATTCATTAGGTTGTCACTTGGCCAAAATAGGAGAAAGTGTATAGGGCAGAAGAGAAGGTATGGGGAAGCCCCGCTGGATAGTTCCCAAAGAAAACCCAACCAAAACCAAAGGCACAGCACTGTCTCAGGTCTGAACAAGACCCCGGATCATGGGGACTGCACGCACAGCCAGAGACGGGTGGAACAGGTTTCTGGCTCCAGGCTATGCTCAGAAATTAGCATGGAGGAGGAGGCAATGGCAGAATGTGAGATTTAAAAAGCACTCAAGATGAATAATTATGACATCTCTGTGTGGTCAGTGTTGATGAGAAGGAGAGAAGTCCAGACAAGTTCCTGGCACCTAGAGACCCATGACACCTATTTCCTGTGATTCCCCTCTAAGGACAGATAGCCAGCCTGCCCATGCTGCAGGACCTAATCTTTTGTCACTGGGGTCTTATGTGGGGGGAGTGCTGTGCTCAGGTAACAAACAGTAGAAACAAAGCAGGACTCTGCCAGGAAGCTGCGTTCCCCAAAGTTGAGTCTGAAGGGATGGCTAGTGTCAAGCTGGAAGAGGACTAAGGCTGGGGACTACTTCCAGTAGGTGGAGGTTGCTTAGGGATGCTTGGGTGGTGGGTGATAAGCTTAAGGTGTGATTGCCTGAACACAGTGGAGGGTGAGGCCCTGAGGAATGTGAAAGATGGCAGATGGGACTGATGGACCCAGATGTGCAGAGGAGTCTCTAAGCCATAGCCAGCTCCATCATCTACAGGGACTCCTGCATCCTGATGGCTTTTCTAATGTGCTTTTTCTCTGGGCCAGCTGACAAAAACTCTGGGAAGACTGACCTGATGAAAGTGCCAATGGCCATCACAGATTGGAACAAATGTGCGAAGGTGTTTTCAAAGCTTACCAAAAATATGTTGTGTGCTGGATTCGAGAACAAGAGCTATGACGCCTGCCAGGTGACCGGGGCACCTCCCTCAGCTTACAGACCCCACCCTATTTGCTGCCAGGTGACGAGGGGCACCCCCCAGCTTACAGGCTGCGCCCTAGATGCTGCCAGAGCAAGGGGATCTTCTCTCCCCAAGAAGAAACAGTGAGGAGTCTGGAAAATGTATGGAAGTTGGGGCTTTGGCCCTGGGGATTGGGTCCTGGGATGCAGAGCCTGGGAGGCTGTGTGGGCCCATCTGGGAGTCAATATGAAAAAACCTTGCATAAATATTTCTGGTCTGTTTCAGGAACATAGGTGAACAGGACTCCACAGCTTCTCCCACTTTTGAGATTTCTTAAAAAACAAAGCCAAGGAGGATTTGGGACCTGTACAAGGACTCATTTTTATCCATTTATTTAGCAACCTGGGTTAAGCATACTAGACCTTAGGGGTCCATGAATGAGACCTGGCTCCTCATCTAAGGGAACCCAGAGTCTCCCAGCAGGCAGTAGAGTCACCAACTGTGATAGTTAAGTGTCACAGGTAGTTAAGCTTGGTAACAATATTACATTTCTGGACAATCCACTAAACAGACCTCATCCTAAATGCTTTACAGACCTTCCCAGCCCATCTGGCAATAACCTTAGAACACCAGTGCTATTATCTCCACTTTAACAAAATTGTGGAAACTGAGGCTTAGAAGTTGTATGCCTCAAGAGGGCTCCTATCCTATTACGCAGGGAAATAAATAGTGAAAGCAACATTTAAAAAAGATTTTTTATAACATTTATGCCTCCATAAAATGAAGATTATGAAGTCAGTGTTCACAGGAGGGGTTCACAGGAGGGGCTATTTGAGTGCAAATTCTGTTGATTTGGCTCTTGTCCCGTAACTCTGAATGAGCTAGCACCATGAAAAGAACAGAGGTACCCAGATACCATGGGTGTGAGAGCAGTGTTTTGTACTGGAGAAGGTCATTTTGGTTTGGGTGCCACTTGCCAGGTGTCCTTGAGCAGGGGAGAGCTTTTATTCCGTGGATAGCCAGTGAAAGTCTGTGTGCCTCTGCTGGGTGGTAAGTTCCAACAGTGAAGCTGGAACACACTCTAACACACTTGTCATTGTCCCCTGCATTGCCTCTGTTACCTGAAGCCCAGGACCCCGAGGTCAGTCCTCACTAGTCACATCCACTGTCCCTCCATGACCAGTCCCCATCAGTTCCCGTCCATCTCCTTCTCGATCCCAGTCTTCTGCCCTGCTCTGGACATGTTTTTCCTCCTCCCTTTAACCAGTCTTCCTGCCCCTGCTGGACTCCCCTCAGCAACCCCAACTCAACCGGTCAGGTTCCTGCTCACTCCACAAGCCACACACTTGGAGGTTGGTTGTGACAGTCCTCTCCCTTCCCAGAGCCAGCCTCCCCCTGCACCACTTCTATGGCTTGCTCACACATCATATCTGTATCTGTATTTGCATCGATATCTCCTCTGTTAGACCAGGAGGGCTTCTATCCCCAAAGCTTGGTGGTGCGTTTTTTCCTCAGTGAGAGGGCAGTCATCAAACCTCTTCCAGCCCTGAGCTTTCTAATTACAAAATGGGAAGCAACACACCTGCTCAAAGAGACAGTGGGACCAATGAAGGGTCATCATAAAGCTCCTTTACTCCAGCCACCATGGTAGGATCACAGGAAGGAAGACCACTCTCCACCAAAGAAAGACCGCTGGCAAGGTTGAAACTGTTCGGTACCTTTGGTGAGGGAAGAGTGTAACAAAAGTGGAAGGAACTCAGATTTGGGCGTTAGGAAATCCTGACTTCCAGCTCTGGCTGGGCTACATATAGCCTTTATCAAAGCCCTTCTCCCTCCTTGAGACCAATGTTTCTTCGATTAAAAGGGACAAAAGTAGCCATGTATGCAGGGGGCACTTGTGGTAGGGACTTAGAACATAGGCTGCACATAATTGAATAACCACATGAGGGATAGACCCATGAAGGGGGCGCATTCCCCTCACAAATACCCACACCAGAGAATTAAAAAGGAATGCCATCCCCCACCAGCCTCTGAAATAACACCAAAGGAAACCCAATTCATAACCCTAGCAAAGCTTCTTGTGTCCCCTTTTCTTTCCTGCCCTTTCCAGAGCCTCTGGTGTGAGAAGATCCCTGGCACTAAGTTCCCCTCCTCTCTCTGTTTTCCTGCTCCCCTCTCTCAGGGCTGCAAGGGAGGGAGCTCTCCCACAAGTCCTTTCTCTTCCTCCTCCCACTGTGGTCATGGCCCATCGATGGTCCTGTGTGCTACACCCACTCCCAGAGTCACTTGCAAGCTGCGTGGTTCTCCAATGGGGCTGGGATGGGTAGACATTGGTCGGCAGTGATGTGAATTCTTTTTGGAGTAGGTGAGGGGGATGAACTCCCTCCTAGACAGTAATGAGCCACACCAGCCTCAGTAGACAGTTCACAATGAGACTCACCACTGAATTGAACTGTGTTCTCTGCCCACAGGGGGACAGTGGGGGGCCACTCGTCTGCACCACAGAGCCTGGCAATAGGTGGTACCAGGTGGGCATCATCAGCTGGGGCAGGAGTTGTGGACAGAAAAACACCCCAGGAATATACACCTTGTTGTCGAACTACAAGGTCTGGATCCAGAATGTGACTCAGATGGAAATGAGGCCCCTTACCTTCGAGGAAATGAAGACCTCACCCAAACAGAAGAATACAATGGGGCCCATGACCTCAGGATGCCCAGAACTAGGAAGCCCCCAACACATGCTTCTGCTCTGCCTTCTGTCCTGCCTATTGCTCACAGCCATTTCCAACTGGGAATAAAACAGGTGCTAATCTCTACCCAAAGGTGACTATGTGAGAATGTGAAGAGGACCTGGCTGCAGATCCGGGCCAAGGGTGAGGGCTGAGGCTGAGGATAGAAAGAGGAGGACTTGAAAGTCAGGCTGGTGTGCCTGGACAGGGCATCCGAGGTGCTCAGGAACTTCTGAGAAAGGATTTCTAGGGCTTGCTGCTCCCGGAGCACCAGGGGAATGGGACCACTGGGGGAGGAGGGCCACTGGGGCAACAGGAAACATAAGAAGCTTCCCTACCCAATCTCTTTCTAAAGAAGTGTCAGCTATGTTGTGTGTCATGGGAAGAGCCCAAGCTTCTGTTTAAAGGTTTGCATTCCCTAACCTGTCTCTGTATCTATGGTGGAGAGCCAGGGACCCCAAGCTTAGAGAAAGAGTTGCATGGTCAGGCTCGGTCTCGGTGAGCAGAGGTGGGAACTGAACTCTAGGAGCTTGTTGCCAATGGCAGTGTACTTGCACCAGCCATCCTGTGTGCAGGAGGGCGTCGAGGGCCTGGGGATCCTGCAGAGGGGACGCTACAGTGGGCCTCAGTACAATGCAGACCCCTCAGGGGAGCCATGGAAGAGCAAGTGAAAGGAAAACCACACGTTCCTGACTTGGTCTAGGGTAAATGGAAGGGCAAACTGGGAACAAATTGAGAGCCAGGGGAAAAGAGGGCAGACCTGTCTGTTCCAAAAGAGAGGACTCCCAAAATAGGAATGCCACATAAAGGGAACTTAAGGAGTGTGGTAGTGAATTATATGTGTCAACTTAGTGTCCTTGCATGAGCCTAATGTTTCAGTGAATGAACTCTGAGTGTGCAGATTGCCCTCCCTGATATGGGTGGGCCTCATCCAGTCAGTTTAAGGTCTGAATAGAACAAAAAGACTGGCCTCCCTGGTAAGAAGGAATTCTCCAGCAAACTGCCTTCAGACTTCCTCTGCACCATCTGCTCTCCCAGGTCTCAGCCCGCCAGCCCACACTGCATGCCCCATAATCAGATGGACTACTTCCTTATAATAAATCTTTTCTCGCTATAACACATCCTATCTGTTCTGTTTCTGAAGAACCCTGGCCAATACAGGGAGCCACATCTTCAGGGCAGCGAAGAGGCTGCTGAGATACCTGAGATAGAAATTGCAAGTCCAACACTGTTGAACTGTCAATAGACTTGTGATCAGTCATGCCATGTGATATTCATGTATGTCCCATCCCCTTCCAGATCATGCCCAGCCTTCCTCCCCTGGTTACTGAGCTTCCTCAAGGGCCCTAATGGACACACAGAGACACTTGTCACACATTGAGGGGAAATAACAGTAGCATCTGTCAACATCCCACAGACTACCACTGTTAAGCCCAAACACTAACGACTTAATAAATTTGATCATTGGTATTTCTTACAGCCTAGGAGTGCTGTGCAAACAATATCCAAGACACTAAGGGTGAACCAGCAAAGTTTGGGAGCCTCTGACCTAGCGGGTACTGCTGATATTAATATTTTGTATTGAACAACAAGACTTGGTGGCCATGGTGGTTTTGTGGTGCAGCAGTGTGAGAGTGGTCCAGATGTCACCTTAAAGTTCACCTCCCTGGAAGTGAGGGCAGAGGTGTAAATTGACTGTTTCATCTACTCTGTCCCCAGTGTTCTGGTTTATTTGGGGAATCCCCTTTGCCACTCCTAGTTTATGATCAAGTTTCTCTTAGATCCATGTCTTACATCAAGTAGCCCCTACCTCTGACCCCAGAGGTCACAAGGAACCCAACCTGGCCAATTACAGGAAGCATTTCTGCTGGCCATGAGAGTCACCCTGGGCTACGAGAACCTGCACTTAAGCATCTCTAAAGTGAGCAGATGTCTGTCTGCTGGACAGTGTTGAATGAAAGACCAGAACTACTGGGGCCTCCGGGGAAGAGGACCTCCCTGAGCACAAAGCCAAATCATGAGGACAAATGTCCCATAACAGCTCTGTAGCCCTAGAGCCCAACATGCAGATTACTTTTCTTCAATTAATCCTCTTCGCCTTCAGGATAGTTTTAGCTTTATAAACAAAGTGCGAAGGTGTTACAAAGTTTTATACAGCAATTGACCCCTATTACCAACATCTCACAGGAGGGCATTTGTTACACTTAAGACAGATGGACTACATTTAGATACACTGTTATTAACTAAAGTCCACTGTTGACTTGGGTCTCATTGATTTTCACAGAACTTCTGTTTCAGTTCAGGATGCCATGGGACATCCAATTGTCTTCAGGCTCCTCTTGGCTGTCGCAGGCTCTCAATTTTCCAGGATTTGATGACCTTGCCAGTTTTGGGCACCCTGATCAGGCATTTTGTAGGGTTCTCTATTAGCGTTTGGGGTGTGTGTGTGCGTGTGGGTGTGTGATTAGACTGGAGTTGTGGGCTTGAAAAGGAAGATGACAGAGCTAACGTCATTCTCATCACATCATATGGGGAGTACATGCCACCAGCAGGACATAGGACCATCAGTGCTGGCCTGGGTCACCTGGCTAAGGAAGTACCAGTTTCTCCACATGGAGCTCCCCTCTCTGCCTCCCTTCCTCACACCTTGCACCCTTTGAAAGGAAACCACAGTGTGCGGCCCACGTTAAGAGTAGGGACACAGGGTAGAAGACTGACATCATTTACCTGTCATTTTCCCCAGAAAGTTGTATCCCCTCTCCATTTATTACTTTACTCAGTCATTTCTTTAAATAGGTATGGACTCATGAATATTTATTGTTTACTTTGAGTTATAATTCAGTGTTCAGGAGCTCTCTATTTCCTTTTTTTTTTTTTTTTGGCTGTACTGGGATTTAAACTCAGGACCTCATGCTTGTTAGGCACTCCACCACCCTGCCAGTCAAGGAGCTCTCTCAGTTGGTTCTCAGGCCACATCAGTGTGGTATTTTGCCTTATTTTGAACACTTCTTTACTTCTGGCACTACAAGAAGCACTGAATTTCTACTATGAGCCAATGAAATTCTCTTTGTTAGTGTTTGACATCTGTGACTGCAACTGGATATATTCTGACTGACCTACAGGGGACACCCTCGGGCACACTGACAACAGTGTGGCAAGACTTATGGACACGCAGCAAGCCCATCGCCGGCCCTAGGTCTTACCTGCTCTGTGTCAGGAGATCCTTGGAGCATCTTGGGGGTGGAACTTCCAGTGCCACTGATAGACAGCCAGGGAAGGGGAGGACAAGGAACAGAGAAGGAGGAGTTCACGTTTTAATGAGTTCAAGCTCTCTGTGGAACACTCAGTGGAGATGTTTAGCAGGTATTCAACATACAGTTTGGAGCCCAAGTGTATCTATGACTAGCCTGGGAAATAACAGATTTTAGAGTCGTTCACATGGCTCTGCCATAACAAGCGGCAGAATGTCCAGTGAGATTCCAGAGTACATCTCTTACCAGTGTCAGATTTTCCTAACAACTTCAAATATGCAAACAACCAAAAAGCAGAAGCCATGTGTGACCAAGTCAGCAGCTGCTAGTTGCACTGGCTAGGTCCTTCATGGTCACAATGTAACAAGCTCCAGCCAGGCTTTGACATGTGAGGTCTCTAAACCATGGCTGTGGGAACATGGCTTATGCAAGAAAGAGCTATTTCAGTCAGAAATCTGCAGAAATCAGAAAATATTTGCATATTTTCCAGAGAATCGTGCCTAGAAACCCACAGATTGTGTGTGTGCCACAAAGAACATTTAAGCAAACCTGGTACATCCTGCTAAATCATTCCACAGAAAAGGATAGTCCAGTGAAAAGTATCTTGAGAACATCCCACAAGGTCCGAATTTCCCTAAAACAAATCCACATGGTGACTCTTCTTGGCCAGGTATCCCCTGCAAAGAGAAAGAATGGATCACAGGCCCTTTCCTTCCCAGTCATGGAACAGATTGCTGAAGGAGAGTGAGGATGAAAAGAAATAGGGTGAAGACAGAGTCCCAAAAAAAAAGTTAACACTTGAAAGAGTGTCGGAAGAGAGATGGAAAAGCACAAGAAGAAATGGCACTTGGGCAGAGAGGATGAAAGGCAGGGAAATGTGGTGGCCTGGAAGGCGGAAGGAGGGAGTAGTCAGCCACTGGCCATCAAATGCTGCTGAGAGGCCAGAGAGGCCGAGCAGGACAAATATCTACTGCACTCAGCAAGGAAGTCATTGATGGTGTGTTCCATAGCATGGGGGACTGGAGCCAGTGCTGGTCAGCAACTCAAGAACTGTGCATGGGAGGATGAGAGAGAACAGAGCAGCAATGCAGGCAGAGGTTGGGCACAGAGTGGTTTTCCCTTCCGAGAGGGTCACGGTTAAACACTCCTGTGACTGTATCGGTGGGAAGGGCAGCTGGCGGTCTCAGGGAGGCAAAGGGAATAGAGCAAGGCTGAGGTATTGGGCCAGGAAACTGATTCAGAACAAAAGGAAGAGCACAGGTCCACAGCTGCGCTGGGTTTGGCTATGTAAATGATATGGCCACAAGAATCACCCATTTATTAAACAAACAGCATGGGGGCAGGGGTAGTGGGGAGGGAGAAGCGGTATGTTTGTATCTCCTGCCTATCCATGCATTCAGCCAGCCAGCCCCTATTCCTCCAGGGGGCCAGAGCACTGTTGCTCCCTCCTGTGGCTCCCAGGTGTCCAGGATTCAGAAAAGAAAGTACAAAGCCTGCCAAATGTGGATTGGTTTCCCACTATAAATGTCACATCCACTCCCCATCGCCTACACAAATGTCACTGCCTCTTCCAGCTGCCCAGTGTCACAGCCTTCAAAGTGCCGGACTTGGCACTTTGTCCCTGCCCTGTGGCAACGGCAGCCTCAGATGCAGATGCAGCAGATGGCTATTCACTCCAGGTCACCTGCTTCCTAAGAAGTTGATTTGTCGAAGTTTCTTGCAGGAAGACCCTTCTCAGCAAGTCACTTATTTGGAAAACAATTGTGAGACCTGGTTAAAAGTACCTTCCCACCTACCTCATTACCCCTGCAACCTATT